CAGGTTTTGTTATCTTGTGTTTGTACAATATTTTTTTTATTCCCAAATGGGGTATTTGGCCAAAATATATGCTTTTAAAAATATGTTAAAATATATTGTTTTTTAAAAAAAAAAAAAAAAAAAAAAAAAATCCTATAGAGAAACCGGTGCAAATTAAAAAAAATACAAATGGGCAAAACTTTAAAATTTCAAGAGCTGTAATCATGCTAAATCCTTCCCAAGATGGCCTAGGCTCCTGGGCGCTCCATGTAGCAAACTTTTCTGCGAGTGACTGCCCCCTGCTGGTAACCGCGGAGATTAAAGGACCTACATTTAGAACTTCAGGCTGGAGATTTCATGACATTGTCTGTCCACCAATTCTTTCTTTATTAAGAAGCTAAAGGGAAAATAGTCCTCCATAAGCGGTTATTAGTAACTAGGGCTGCTTTTGAAATACCTTTTGGGATCTAACTCTACTCTTTCCCTAAATGGCAGCGGTAATCACAGAGATAAATCTACTTAATCTGAAGGTCAGACAGGAAATCACGGTTTGAAAGCATCCCATGGTAGCGTTCGCTTTTCCTATTCCCACGCAGAAATAACTTCCTTTACCTGAGAAATCGGAATCCGACCTGAGCAACTAAGTGCGCGCTGTCCAGCACCACGCATCCCCCTCCTTCCTCTTTGCAGGCTCCCGTTTTAGGAGCCGAGCCACAGGACGTCATTACGTACTGCGTCATGGCTAACTCCCCAACCGCTGGTTCTGCCAAGACTTTACAGTCCAGAATGGCATCTTTCTTTAGCACGCCTTGAGTTCAGTACAGCATTTCCATAAGTGGGAAAAACAATAATAACAACACGCAAATCCATTAATGTAAAACTATTTTTTCTTTATTGAAAATACATCTACAAAGTAATGTTTTCCAGTACTCAGTGGGTACACACATATGCAGAGCCTCTGATGCACTGGCAAAGGGACCACCTCAGAGGACCTGTTTTCATAAGAAATGGTTAGTACAAAAACAAAACCCCACACTGGGTAACAGCATTAATCTGACATGGTTAAGTTTTGTTCTACTAGTGTTATAAAACGGCTGCCACATACATTAACTTCTGTAGTGTGCTTCCCAAATACAGCGTGCCATTATTCAATGATTACTCCACCATAGCCTAGTGTTAACCTTTATATGCATGTCATGCTCAAGATCTCTATAAGATACCTCTAATTATAAATTGGGAGACACATTTCTCGATACTCAGTTTGTTAGCGTCACCGTGAGCATTTGTCATTTTTGTTCAGAAACTAACGCAGCTGGCACTATCGGATGGCTCTTATTGAATGTCTTTGACTGAATATTCCCAGGGGGGTAAAAATAATCTCTTTTAAACCCGGGAGCTGCCTTGCCTGAAAGCAATGCCCCTGCTGTCTTTTCTTCCACCCTCATTGATGTTTATTTTCATGCTGACTCATCTACCATTTTTTTTTTTGGTAGAGCCACAAACAAAACTAAAGCAAACCCCACTCGAGATGAAAATTTTGAATGATTTGCCAAGTGGCATTTTTCTACAGAGAAGTATCTTGTTTCTTTCATTCTAAGAAAGTCTGTTTAAATTGCTAAACAAACCAAAACAAAACCCCCCAAAAACAAAAAACATTTTTGGAGATGAGATCATCCACCTAGCACACAGATCTGTCCCAGGAATTTCATTTGCTTGACTTTGAAGTATGGAAGGAGTGGCATTATATGTCATTTCTCTGGGGACTGATTGGGAACAAAAGACTAAGTGTTCAGGTTAACAGAAAGGACTGAGATGTAGCTCCCCCTTTTGCTTATCTTTAAAGAAGACCGTCTATTCTTGATCTTCATAAAGAACCCTCCCCTTGTAATGTTGGCCAAACCCTCTTCTTTCTCTGCTCTTTAGCGGTTCATAGTAAGACCATGAGCTAGTTGCTAGCTTTCTGTTGATTTCCTGAACATCTACGTGTCAGTTGAAGGTGGGAGGCTTTCTTAGAGCCATCCCTTGGGTTCTGGAAGAATACCCAAGAAGGGAGTGCTTCTAGTATTGGTAAACAAAACAAAACAAACAAAAACAAAAACGCAGGCAAAGGGGCCCCACAAATAATCCCACTCCTGGAATGGCCGTCCGCATTTCTACTTCTATAACCAACATTTTGGACCCAGTACCTAGTGAGCCACACACAGCCTGCCCCTAGTGAGAAACATCCATCCCCATGAAGTGTCCTTTCTGAGATCTCCATGTGATACAGGGCAGGGTCTTTCCTGATGTTGCAGAAATCTCGGCTAGGGAGGCCCAGAGTATCTAGAGTCTCTTATCATCAGGATGAGAACACAGAGGCCAAGGCATGAGATGAGTCTCCCTCGAGACCACGCCTTCTGCTCCTCCTCCCCACGGCTGTGCTGTATGCATGTGGGCATTGCCCTGGAACTGATAAAGTCAGGACAGAAGTCAGAAGAAATGGGGGAACATCTCTGCTTCCGCAAAGGTGACATAATTGCTCATCGAGTTACGTTTTTCAGACTAACACTCAATTGTGTTCTGAAGGACGTTTGGATTTTGAGAGTTGGTTTAGAAAGGTTTTTAACCTGTCCCTTGTTTAATGCTTTTCCTTATAAAACAATCGCACAGGATTGTTCGCCATCTAAATTGGTGATATCAAAACTATGTTTGATCCCAGTAACTTACTTGGTAAGAATAACATGAAATGAATTAAAAACTTCAAATATGGTCTGAAACCTACATGTTTTGGCTGCTGCCAAGCCCTCCCCTGTTTTTGGACATTCTCCAATCCTATCAGAGTAGGGAGGGAAAAGAGAAGGGGCTCACTGTGTGAGCGAGCTCAGTGAGACACACTGCGGAAGAGCCTTCCAACACCGGGTGCTCAAGAGAAGCCCTCCGGCTTAGTCTACATCTTGGTTTCACTGTCAGCCACGGGTTTCTCGGGCTCATTGTCCTGGGCAATCAGCTGATAGGGCTTCTTCATTTCATTCTCCTCGATCACGGAGTTCCCCATTTCGACGTCTCGGTTCTTTAGTTCGTGTCGAGACAAGTGCTCAACGATTCCTGCTCCCAGGGAGTCACCCAGCACATTGGTGGTGGTGCGGAGGCGGTCCCTGCAGGCGGGGCAGGAAGAGAGGAAAAAGAGAGGGTCCTGTGAGTACCACCAGATCCCAGATTCCATTGGGCTTTGGAAACATCTTTGAACTCTGTAGTGTGTACCCCTCCAATGGGATGATTTCATCCTTGACACACATCTACAAGTCACTGTCAAAAGCTACAAGGGCAAGTAAGTGATTAGTTTTCAGTAATTAGTCTGGCTATAAACAGAAGGTGAACAGTGAGAGCTGACCCCCCCCCATACGTGTGTGTGTGTGTGTGTGTGTGTGTGTGTGAGAGAGAGAGAGAGAGAGAGAGAGAGAGAGAGAACTCGTCTGTGTACAAGTGTGTGTGGAGGCCCAGAGTGTGGTCTTTCATTATTTTCCACCTTATTTTTTAGATAGGGTCTCTTGTTGAACCTGGAGCTGTTCACCAACTTAGCAAGACTGGCTTGCCAGCCCTTGCCAAAGCCCTCCTGTCTCTGCCGTTGCAGCGCCAGTACTGGCGTGAGTGGTGCCATTATGCCCTGCTTCTTTTGAACGGGTACCGTATGAGGATGGAACTCACAGCAAGCTCTTGTTCCAACTCAGCCGTTTCCCCAGTCCCCTTTTCTGTTTTTATTTAACCTTTTTCTTTCTCTCTTCACCTACCGCTGTACCAATGGTTCCTAAAGCGTGGTACAGAGACTCCTTGGGGAGGTGTGGTAGGCTAAAAAACCTTTTTTTTTTTTCTTTTGTAATACTATGTTCTCGTTTGTTCCCTTTACTCTTATTTTCTCAGGAATTTGTGGTAAATTTGCTTAGACGACATGATGTGTAACCTCATAGCACACTGGATGCAGAGGCAGTTGGGAGAGTGGAAGCTGTCTGACGTTAAGCAGGATGTGTAGGGGAGTTACGAAACCTAACTCTGTGCCATTCTTTTCAACAACCTTTTTTTTTGTCTAGAAGTGGTTATTTTTCACAAAAAATTGTTATTTGTGTCAACACATAATGAATTCTTATTCTAACTTTTAAAAGCAGTGTGAGTTTTTATGCTATGGTAATTGTGTAAACTATATAGCTTTAGTATGTGGCCCAGTTCAATCAGTTTTACGCATGAAGACAAAAAGAAAAAAAAATCTTCAGAGTAGAAGCTTGTATTCTACCAGAATCCTTTTGGTTTTAGTTGTACAAGTTTTCACTTGGCCCAGGCTGCCTTTGAAGTCACGTGGCCTCAGAGGAAAACCTCTACCTTTTGATCCTCTTGACTTCATTTAGCACACGCTGAGATGACAGGTTTGCACAATCGTCCCCCTTCCCTCCCAGAGTACGTGGGATTGGAATTGAACACAGAGCCTCATGCCCATTAGGAAAACCCTCTACCAGCCGAGCTCCAGCCCCAGCCCAGTCCCAAAGCATTGGTGTCAATAGATGCCTCAGAGCCAGGCCGTGTACTAAATTCTTTCTTACCTGTCACTGAATTTCAGCCCTCGAGTGTCAACAGGAGGCAGAGGATGTGGGTATCTACACGTCTAGGGAGGTGGAAACTAGTGAGGTGCTCAGGTAGGTGACACTGTCATCGGGCCTGAGGTGACGAGCCAAGTAACCCGGGAACTCATGTTATATCCCCTGGCCTTGGCACACACTGTTGGACTCTTCCTAACTCTAGTGAAGTCATCCCATTGGACTCCAGCATCCAATGTGCCCTCCTAAGTATTCCCTTTGGGCACCCTTAAACAATGTTTTCCCCAGTAGATGGAATTTATGAGAGACTAGGAACAGATAATGTCCCTGGCAGGGAAGAAGGCCTGAAGGCAGGCCCTACATGGTGGGGTCTAAGGATGCAGTGGGTACATTTCTCGGGATTTTCCTCAGAGCGTCAGATCAATTCCACTTGATGAGATGAGCTCTGTCTGCATGGCTATCCCTCAACTCATGGGTCTCAGGCACACCATCTGCCCTGAATTACCCCTCTATAATGGGAAGCACAAGGAGGAAGGGCCTGAGCTGCCATTTGGGGTCTGTAGTTCCAGCTGCTGAGGGGATGTGTTGTGCAACCCAGAGAGAGACTGGCTGACTTATGTCAGCTTTGCAGACACTAGGTTTCCCAACTCCGAGTGACTTTATGGAGTGGGAGGGAGAGCGACCAGATGCGCCCTACAGGCTGAGAGAGGAAGGAGTCTGCATGGCCTGTGAGGCTGGGACTCCATAAGGACAGGGGACCAGGTGATGAGGAAGATTTAATTACAAACCAGTGTGTCTTTTGCTCTGTTCTTCTGCGAGCCCATTAGATTGTTTGCTATTATAGAATTGTGGGGGTGCCAACAGGGGATAGGCTTGTGGGTGGGAGCTACAGTGTGAGTCAGAACGGGGTCCCCGAATACTCACAGAAACCAGTCCACCGCGATGATGAGTGTGATGTCATCCGTGGGCAGGCCCACAGATGTCAGCACAATGACCATGGTGACCAGGCCAGCCTGAGGAATCCCAGCTGCCCCAATGCTTGCAGCCGTGGCCGTGATGCTGTTGACAAAAGAACCCAAACAGAAAGGTTTATCAAGGAGCACCTCGCAAAACTTGGGTCTCCAGGCTTGAGGACCCGCTTTATAAAAACGGAAATAAATAAGTAAAAGCAATTCACCGAACTAAGAGTCAAACTAACTAAAATCAACCATGCACTTTTTATTATGTGTCAGCTGATAAGCTGAGCGTGGTTTGCCTCATTTGATCGTCACGGCGACCCTTGTGAAGTGGGCTTTGTTACTGTGACCATGTTTAAGTAAAGAAACTGGTGGATGGAAACTTTTTCTATGTTCTTACAATCATTTTGTAAGGTCTGAAAGGAAGCAGAAGAGGGTGACTTGGTAGAGCATTTGCCCAGCACTGCCAAGGAACTCACAGGTGAATGTGAAGTGCATGTGTGTGTTTGTGTGTGTGTGCACGTGCTCTCGTGTGTGTGCGTGTGTGTATGTGTGTGTGTGTGTGGTCAGTATGGACCCAGGTGCATGTGTGTCAAGTGTCTAAGATTTACTTGACAGGGTGACGTGAGAGCATTGCCAAGATCTAAACTGCTTATGATTTCCCCCACCTCCTTCCCTGCTGGTACTAGAATGCCTAGGTGGTAAGGCCACCTAGAATGAAATTGACACTTGCCAGCCTCCTAAATTCTAACTCACGAAACACAGATGGAAGTGACTGGCCAACCTTTGTCTCCCCCTCTTCCCACTGGCAAAATTGGTAAATGCTGAGAAGTTGTCATGGAGCACCTGGGTGAGGGGGTCACCTAGAAACTGAAACTGCAGCCGTCATTCCTCCCATTGTGAAACACCGCCCAGCCTTGAAGGCTTGGTGGGGCACACCTTACAGAGAACTGTATTTGTATCCTGTTTAGGTCACTGGTACCATTTTCATTATTAATTCACACGCAGCTGAACCTTTGTCTTAGCTCAGGGCTCTACAGTCAATATGCCAAAATGTGTCTGGGAAGAGGTTATATAGTGCAGCAAGACACTGACCTCCAGCCTCCGGTGTGGTTAGCCTGAACCTCCTGATCCCTGGTCAGCCTATGATCCCAGGTCATAGAAACCTCACCTCATCATTTCATACTAAAGTATGCCACAGCTATTACCCCTTCCTAGCTACATGCACACGCGTGCAGAATATAACACACTTCTAAATACACCTGAGAAAAATGGGGGGTGAGTGATAGAGATGAAAAGAGATCCAAAACATATTTTAAGACATAAAACTGAGATTTGATCTGAGAGGAAAAAAAAGTTGCAAAGGACATTTGGTAGGGGGGGGCATCTGGGGAAATCAAGATAGGATGGTATTTTGGAAGTACTTCTGAGATTATATTATTGTGAGTATGTAGAATATCCTTATTCTTAGGAGATGAATGCTGGGTGGTGTAGAAGGGATGTATCATGACAGGAATACAGAGGGGGAGAAGGCAGTGAGGGCGGGGGAGAAAGCACAGGCACCGCAAAGTGTTAATTTCTAGGTCTAGGCAGAGGATACTGTAGTACTGCTTTAGCTTTCCTATATACAGGGAACTTTACTAATAAGAAACTGTGAAAACCAAAATCCGATTTCTAACACTGTTACTATTTGCTAAATTCAAGCCCACAGCAATGAAGGGCACAGTTGATCTGAACTTGGAATCTTAAAGCCACCTGCTGCCCTTAGTCTTTCTGACTCCTGGCTAAGGGTTAAATCTGCCGGGACACTTGGACCTTCTCTGGCAGGTACAAGGAAAACGGCGAGGAATGGTAGCTGCTTCTGCAGAAGGAAACCAAGAGGTCCGAGAAAAGCAGCAGGTGGAAATTACTTTTCCCTGGACATCTTGGGTATGGGTTAAATGAGTCTCTGTAAGATAGGGTTCTCTGCCTTCCTTGTATGGTCTGTCATTTACCTTGTAGTGCCAAGCAACTAACCAAAGAAAAATCAACTAATCCAGTTTTCAAGTGTGTTTTCATTTTTCAATATCGCCTATAGACATAGTTTAATGTTTTAAAGTGGGAGACTAACTTAATATTTTTAAAACAGAATTATTCATATTATATATTTTATAGATATTAAAAAATGAGCTAGGTAGGGCTGGAGAGATGCCTCAGAGATTAAGAGCACTGACTGCTCTTCCAGAGGTCCTGAGTTTAATTCCCAGTAACTACATGGTGGCCCACAACTATCTATAATGAGATCTGATGCCCTCTTCTGGTGTGCAGGAATACATGCAGACAGAACACTGTGTATAAAATAAATAAAAATAAATAAGTAAATGAGCGAGGTATACCTGTAAATTCTATATTGACAAACAAACCAATTAAGGAGTACATAGTATATGTGGTATAATTACTAAAAAGAAGTGTGTCTGTGTCCTTGTATTGGAAAAGGTCTTTGGGAATCAGTCATGGATGATGGTATCTAACAGAAAGATTTAATATGGTAACAGGTAAGTGATACTTTGCATGTGATACACTTCTGTATTATTTGAATGAATATCCTCACCTGAAGTTAAAAAGCTGAAAAATATATTCATCTACACCCAAGCCCGCTCCCTCCAACTGCAATCTCCTGTTCTTGTGTGAGTCCCTCCCACCTCGCTCATTCTCTCATCTGTTAAAAGCATTCTGAAGAGAATGTCGGAGAGAAATCTCCCCTTGTACCTTATTGTAATAATCTGTCCAAAGTTCAGGTCAAAGTTGTTAACTTGAGCGATGAAAATGGCAGCCAAAGCCTCATAGAGGGCGGTCCCATCCATGTTGATGGTGGCCCCCACGGGGAGCACGAATCTGGTGATGCGTTTGTCCACGCCATTGTTCTCTTCGAGACATTTGAAAGTGATGGGGAGGGTGGCAGAGCTGAGGACAACGAAACAGGACATGTCAGCTGCGTGTCTCGTCTTTGGTCTTTTGCACAGATGGTTCCTTCCTCTCTCGTGTCCTGACTCAGTCAGCATTTGTCTAACCAGGGGGTGAGGAGCAGTGTGGCGTCCTCACAGGCTCACTTGGCTACTCTTCTGTGCCTGGGTTCCTCTGAGGAGTTACTTGTGATTATTCCCATGCCATGGATCCGGGGCCACAGTATTTTCTACCATTTCTCTCAGGCAGATGTCAACAGAAGACAGGAAGGTAGTGGACAGGCAAGGGCTCTTCCTTCCCCTTCACCACTCAAAGGATTTACAGATAGCCCTTCCTTGGATCCCAAGGAGGTATCAGAGGTGAAAAAAGTCAATTCAAAGTTCCTGAAATTTAAAACCCAGAATAAAATGCCTCTACTTACCCCCAACCATGAGGCTCAAGGCTCAGGTCTAAGGTAAAGGTTTAGACGCTTTTTCTTTCTTTCTTTCTTTCTTTCTTTCTTTCTTTCTTTCTTTCTTTCTTTCTTTCTTCCTTCCTTCCTTCCTTCCTTCCTTTCTCTCTCTCTCTCTCTCTCTCTCTCTCTCTCTCTCTCTCTCTCTTTCTCTTTCTTTTTTTGTTTGCTTTTGTTTTTCAACACAAGGTTTCTCTGTCGCTTTGGAGCCTATCCTGGAACTAACTCTTGTAGACCAGGCTGGCCTTGAACTCCCGGAGATCCGCCTGCCTCTAACTCTGCCTCCCAATCACTGGGATTAAAGGCCTGAATCACCACTGCCCGGCTAGACACTCTTTCTTAGAGGAGCAAGCCACACACACACACACACACACACACACACACACACACACACACACAC